CAAACAGTGTTTAATAGGTCTCCAAAATAAGATTTTGCGATATAGAAAAATGTTGATGTTTACTTGATGACTAAGTGCCTCGCTTTTATCACTGTCTTGTGATTTGGGTTTGAAGACAAAAAGTCTCAATACAAACGAAAGACGTTTTTGAGTTTAGTACCAACCTCATAAGATTTCGTGCTCCTATGTTTTTTTTTTTTTTTGCTCCTATGTTTTTGACTAATAGTTAGGATTTTTAAACTTTTAATGAAGCGTTGTGATGTTTTGTTTTTATTTTGTTGGAACAAACACAAAATCTATTTGAGTTCATGTTGATTTATCAAGTTTTGGTACAACTGGTCAGATCTGGTTATGCGAGCAGGTTGATAGAAGTGGGAGGCGTAGTACGACGGTGAAGGAGTCTAACGTTTATACAAGAGGAAAACACAAATCAGATTTCGGTATTTCTTTCCATGTCTCTATCTTTTGTAGATTTTGATTTTGGTGACAAATACAAAAAAATTGATGTGAACCAGATTAAATCATATGAGTATTCCAATGAAGATAAGCAGCACTCTTTCAAAACTTGCAATCTTAGAATCGGTGAACAAAACACGATGATTATGTACTGAAATTTGTCAATACATTGTCTCCTCACATTTGTGTGTCCTCACTGTAAGTTTTCAGTTCCTCGGCAATTATTTATATAGAGATCGTTTGTTTCGAGATTAAGTTTTGCTCAATGTTTTCTAATTTAATTTCTATATGTTTTGTTCTGTTTCTTTCCTACCTCGAAGAACGCTTATCTAAAATTTTGTATATACCAGCGTTCTGTTAGTCTGTTTCTTTTATCACCGTCGTGCTTATCACCGCCCCGTCTCCATTTTGAATATTCTCGATGCATTTTCATCACTGTTGTCCTTACCACCTTCGGATTTTGGTATTTATTTAGAAAGATATTTAGAAATCTTTCTTCTTCTTGTTTTTATTGTGTTTCTGGATAAACAACTTAACCCAAACTTCGTTTCTTATATGCTTGATCATTGTGCTTTGTTATTTTTTCTGATTCTTTAGTAAAAATTTTATTGCCATACATAGTAGGAGTATTTTTGGTGGCCAAGGAAATAAAACCCCATCGCTTCTCTTTATATTTTCATAAATAGCCATTGTTGTTTCCCCACTGGTTAAGTGTTGGTTTTCACTTTGTTTGGTTGACAAAAAGGATTTGAAATTTTGGAGCCTCACTTTTCCAATTTCGGTTTTCAATTGGTTGAGTAGACAGAAAGTCTCATTAGAGAAGGATAGAGATTTTAAACGCATATATGTGTCCCTATGGATAGGCACTAAGAACTACTCATTCTTAGTACGATTTATCCAGATGGACTCAAGACCTCTTTACCACATTCCACCTCAACCGATAGATTGGATCGAATTGAGTTTTGAGTCTAGAGTCTTGTCTTTTTTTCTAACATCAAATCTATTTTTATATATTTCTCTCTTAGATTGATATGCAATATGCTCTTGAAAGTACCACCTTTTTGTTTGTGTAGTGACGCTTGATATTTTTTCCCTTTTGAGACGACTAATCTTCATGAAATGATAAACCAAATAATATAGTCTCTTTAATAGTTTGCAAGGCCTCTACTTACAAAGGTATTAGAGCCGTAACTTTTGATTTTGAGTCTAGGGTCTGTATTTTCTCTTACTCTTTGTTTTAGATTTTGTACTAGATAGATGTATTGAAATACAATTAGTATAATTCGATTGCTGGATCGGAGAATTCTCAACATTTTTGCCAAGGTTTCATTATTTTAGGTAGAGCTTTCTTGTTTTTTTTTCGGTGAAAAGGTAGAGCTTACTTGTAATACCTCATACTTTCATTTCTCATTTCTTCTAATGATATTTACATTCTTAGAAAGAAAAAAAACCAATAAAACATTTCAATCCCTTATATATTAACTGAGAAGTAATTTGTGAGAGATTGATTATGTGTCATCTCCACAATCACTCTCCCAAAACGAATTATGACATGGCTAAACAAAAAATGTGACATGGC